ATGAACCATTGACTGAGCAAACTTGTGACGCGAGGTTCGAAACTCGGCATGAACATCCTTGAGGAGACATGAAGATCTATGAAGACCATTTGAACCCTTGAAGAATCAATTTTCTTTGAGAAACGTCAAACCCTAATCGTTGACTTACTTCCTAGGAAGAGAATCTGTCTAATCAAACTTCTGAGCCAAATTGAGTATTTGAGAAGACCTAGGATAGTATCTTGAATAAAAAATGAGAGGGAAAATTTTGGAGTACAACAGTTTCTATTTTTATGGAGAAGATTCTATAGGGATTTTGAGCTCAATATTATATTTGATTGAAAATGTTCTAGCCCAACTGCAGAAGACTATATAAAGAGTCGTCCAAGACCTATTTTTTAAGTAGCATAATTTTATTGTAAAACCTTGTGAAAAATAAGGGTTTAGGATTTGATAGTTCCTTAGATTTTCCATGTGTTTTTTGTACATCCTCATGTATCTTTTGATGCATTTGAGTTGACTGATTGTTACTTATTTATCAAGTTATTGTTCTCCACTAATATTTTAAGAAAAGAGTTGAGTATTGTTTTTAGTGAAGCTTTTAAGCAAACTAAGTATTTTGTTTTGGAAGAGTGTTATTCTTTTTGGTTTCTTGAGACACTCCAATGGACTGGGATTTTTTGATATCACTTCAGTGATTTAGAGTGAGAGGAGTTCTCATGTCTAGAAGGTGCCTAGGTAGAAGTTGCATTGGATAAGGATTAAGTGAGAAATGTAAAATATGATTATTTAACTTCGAATTGATACTACTGATAGTGGATTTTCTACCTGGCTTGGTAGCTCTCAGAGTAGGTGAGTTGTCCCGAACAGGGTTAACAATTGATTGTGTTCTTTAATTTTATGCAAATTTACTTTTCTACATGATCTTTCTGTTTTAGCAAGTATGTTTTCTGTCAGCAGATGTTATAACATATGTCGTGATATTTTGTGTTGTTAAGACATCAGTCTTAACTCGTGATATTGTTTGTGCCAAAATTTCATATGTCATTCATTATTTTGCAATACTTTTTTATAGTTGAATCACTTTAGGTCATACCCCAATTGTGAGAAAACTTTCCATTGTCACTATATGCACGAGAGACCAATAATTATTGTTTTCACTAAGTTTTAATATGTTTAATCTTACATTTGTGTTGAACTATTTGAAAGCACGAAAATGATCAAGGCATTTTTTAAAAATTGAGCACAACCACTTGATCAAATAAATTAATCTACCTTGTGAGTGAGCAAGAATTCATTAACCCCTTTGAGCCTTTTTGTCAAGATCCATGTTGTAGTTGAACTATGGTACTTGTGCACGATTAATGAGTTCATTGATTTTTGAATCGATCTTGATTTTGTTTCTTGAACCATCAACCTTAAGTTGTGTTGGAATTTTTTCCCTTGCCTTAGAAATTTTAGGAGCATTCTTGTTGTAATGTGTGGTTGTATTCAAGTTGGAGAGAGAAAGGTTGATTGCTAATTTTTGAATAAGAAAGTGGTTGAAAAAGAAAGAAAAAAAAGAAAAAGAAAAGAAAAGAAGAAAAAGAAAGCTTTGAAAGAAAATAAATTTGGCAAGCATTGTATGCCAACATTTGAGTTCGAGGGCGTAACATTTGAAAAGGGTAAAATAAAGTTATGTATGCTTGAGAATGTGTAAAGTGATTTCTCTCATATGATTAGGAAATTTTGTTTCAAATACCTTTATATATGACCCTTCTTTGTAAACCAAGTCCAATTACAACCCTTGAAAGTCCTTGTGATTCTTGTTTTTATGTTTTCAATACGAGTTTTTTGGATGAATGCATAATTTAATCTCTAGGTAGAAATATTGTTGGGTGAGAGTAAAGTCCCTCATGTTTGTGTGTTTTTCATCCATTGATGAAGTTTTTACTAGGTGTGATTCATGATTGAACATGTGTTGTTTTGGAATGTTTGACATGACTTTTGTACTGAGGATTTGTTTCATAATCATGGTATCATTGTAGTATAGTGGTAAGCATTACTTTGTTTGTGCTTTTTTATTTTTAACCATACGTTTGTTTTCGTTTTTCTAAACTTGTTGATTCATGATTTCTTGGTAGTTGCTTTTGTTTCTTTAGGTTAGTGTGACTTTTATTTGAGGACAAACAAAGTTCTAATTTGGGGAGAGTTGTTAGGGTACAAAATAGTGTTAATATTTAGTATAGTTTAGTGGTACCTTTAAACTCAATTCATTGCATATTCATGTTAAAACCTCAACTTTAGTGTAAATAATAGCTTTATAGTTGTATCGTGTAAATATTGTATAGATTAATCATTTTTTATCTTATTTTGTAGAATTGTTCGCATTATTGAATCATTCAACATTGAAAGGCAAATAAAGCTTCAAGATGCAATTTTTGGATGAAAATAAAGAGTTACGTGTTAGGCTTAGCGCGGTCCTAGCATGTTGGCAGTTTTCTGGACAGAAGGTAGCAATTGTATTTTTTGGATTTTCAAAACTGCACTCCTTTTTACCTCAGTTTTTAATAATAACCGAGGGGTAAAGTCCTGTTTACAAAATTTTAATTTTAACATTGTTTTCTTTTGTTTTAATTTGCAAAGCATCAATTTTTTTGACAAATGCTAAGTCTTCCTCATCATCTTCAACAACACCAATAACAACAACAAAAACAAAATCAATAGAATCCTTAAACATTATTTCAACATCAAAAACAACAACAACAAAATCCATTGAATCTTTAAACCGTAAAATCTCAATAACAACAACAACAATTAAACAAAATCAATAGAATACTTAAACATTAAATCTCAACAACAGAAATAACAACAACAACAATAACAACAACAAAATTCATGAAATTTTAAATGTTAAATCTCAACAACAACAATAAATAAACAAAATCAATAGAATCATTAAATACTAAATTTCAACAACAACAATATTAAATATTTTACTTGATACAACTACAACTAACATTAAACATTTTTAACAAGGAATTACTAGATAAAAGATTACATTAAGAAACTAACTTTGAAATATTTTCCTACTCTTGCTGTCATTATCATTGTTTTCACGTGTATTGTTGAGTTGCCAAAGTCTTGACCATTGTTACTTTATAAATAAACGACAAAGATTTGTTACTTACTTTATTCATCAAATTGGTCATAAATGAAAAATATATTAAAAAAGTGCTACTTTACCCCTTGGTTTTAGCAAAACCGAGGTAATAGGTCATTACATTTTTTTTTACAAAAATTTAAAGGTGATATTGGTAATGGGTTCAATCTCCAACAACTGTATTTTTTAATTTTCAAAACTGTGATACTTTTTACCTCGCTTTCTAACAAAAATCGAGGGATAAAGTCCTATTAAAAAAATTATCAAAAATTAAAAGGTGATAAAATGCAGTTGTTGGGATTCGAAGACTTGTTCTCTAAATACTTTATCCATCGGTTTTTCAGCAAAATCGAGGTAATAAGTCATAAAAAAATTTTAAAAAAATTAAAAGGTGTTAAAATGTAATTGTTCTGGACTGGGCCCGACTGGCCCAATAGCATTGATAAGGCCCAATCCAAACGGACTTGCTGAGGGCCACGCCGACCAAAGGGTCACAGTCGTGTCCGACGTGCTCCCTGAGACTACTTGCTCGACCTCCTGCTGCCCCGCTCGACCTTCAACTGTCCAGCTCGACATCCTACTGTCCAGCTCGACCTCACCTCGAGCACCCCAACTAGGGCAGACTCAGTCCACTGCACTCCCAACGAGACCCCGAAAAGACCGCGTCTCTGTCCGTCCGCACTTCACGCAGAACATCCAGGGAGGGGACCACGTGCGGGTCCCCACTACGCACGTAGAACTTGGAAGTTCCTCCATTGGGCCAAACCTGCCCGGCCCAATGAAGGAACCTTGGCCCAGCGCTGGGGGCTATAAATACCCTCTGCTTCCAGAGGGTCAGGTATTCATCATTCTACCCATACTTACTATTGCCTGCTCGTGCTCTTACTTACTTCAGCATCAGAGTGTCTTGCAGGTACCCCCCCCCCCCCCCCACCTCGTTCAAAACTTTCAGCTCGGAGCCAGCCGTGACGGTCCAAGTCTGATCAGGTCAGATCAGTAATTGTTGGGATTTAAAGGCGTGTCCTCTAAATACTTGACCCTTCGGTTGTGAGCTCTACCGAAAAAAACATATATGGTTAAAAAAAATTAAAATATGACACATCTATAATTTACACTTCAATATTTTTTGTGTGACGTGAAAATTATATCATAAAATATATTATTTGTATTAGTGAAAAGATGTTAGAAAAATATATAAGTTATATAAATTTATTTAGGGATTCGAGCAAACTTCTTGGATTAAATTATTTTATTAATGATGTTTCATGAAAATTTAGATTAAATAAATATTAAATTTAAATCTTATACACACAAGAAAATGAGTGAAAGTATTTGCATTAGTCTATTATAGAATGTATCTGACATACAAATCATCATAACAAGTTCCCTACACCAAAAATGTATAATATGGTTGAGAAAATGGTTTTGATGAGATGCATAGGTTAAATTTCATAAAATATTAGGAGCCATGATCAATAGAGATAAATATTTGATGCACCTCAACCTTAGCCTAACTACATATATTGACGAACCTAAGTCACATTAAGACTATTGCACGCGTCACATGATGTCTAGTATGATGGAAAACACCTTACCTCATTGATGAGAAAAAGGACACATAAAAAGCATCCATGTGTATTGGTGATTAGATCAATCATATATATCATGATATCTCTATACTAAATTCACCATATGCTATTAGCATAAACACTAAATATCAAAATTGATCAAAGTATTCATCACTAGATTATCATCAAGGAGGATCATGGATACCTTAAACTCATTACATACATATTTTTTCTGGCATTATTTATTTATTCATGATAATGATATGCCTTCTATTGCTTAATTGAAATAAGTGATGATATGAATCACACACTTAGTATGGCCTTTGGTCAGCATAGTTGCCTGGTGGGTCATAGTTGCAAGTAACAAAAGTTCCTCCATTATCACATGTCACTTTGGCACATCCCAGACGAACTGAGTTTCTCCAAACAACCTGAGTATAATGGCGACATTCACCACCAACACATGTGTTACTATTATAATCATAGTTTGGTTTCTCACTCACCCACAATTTCACTGCAGCTGTGCCACTCAAGTCTCCGCCATAGCTTTTTGCGATATTCTCCCCATAACGCCCACCAGAGTGGACACCATTACAATCCTTGCGTTGATTAGCATAGTTTTGGGCATAAGCAGCGACAGTGTTGTCCCAAACAATATTTGAAACACCAACCTGAGATCTTGCTGCGTTGTGAGCATTCACGAAGTCTGTTTGTGAGTCTTGTGCATTCGCAACGTAATTTCCCACAGTGAATATTAATCCCAAGACACACAATAGAGAAAATGAACCCATTTTAATATTAGAAATATTTAATGGTGTTTGATGAAAAATGATGGGGCTGTAGTGATGTATTTATAGGAACATTTTACATAAAAAATTTGTAGTAATTGAGAAGACTATTCTTCTTGTAGAAAAGTAAGTCTAGTCCATAACAAAAACCAGTGGCATGTGTAATAGAATTATCGAAAAAGAATCTGCGTTCATGACCAGAAAAATTAGGTTCCATATTTCCACAAATTGTAATTTATTTCTCATTAAGATGGAATATTTTTAAGGGCACCAAATAGAGACGGCTGATTAAAAATTGCTATTATTTTTCTTGTTCAATATTGACTACTCAACATAAAGGAAATGTCTCATAAAACAACAAAAAGAAAATGTCTCTTGAAAAATAAAAAATAAATGTATCTATTTTTTTTATAACAAATTGAATTAAGACTAAAAGTACAAGAGATACTCCAACCCTTACATAGCAAAATAAGAAAAAGCTCCACAGAGAAACCAACACCAATTCCAAACAAAAACAACAGCTCAAATGCCAAATCAATAAACAACAACAGCAGTGAAAGTAGACAGAAAATAATAAAAGAAGTGAGCCAGCAATCAAACCTGATCTGCAGAGAGAAGCAAATCGCACTGTAGAGGAAACTTAGCCCATAAAAACACGAGGGTCCTTCAACCAATAGGATTTCAAGCAATTTAGGTGACCCTTGACCCTAGCACTAAACCAATCCAAAACTAATTTTTTTTGCTAGGCAAACAATGTCAAGAGATCCTTTCATCCCTCCCTCGAACAAAGTATCATTACGGATTAACCAAATCGCTCTCACCACAGCTAACCACAAGAGAAGCCTGTAACTCTTCTTTGCCTCGCCACGCAATGCTGAATCAAAGGATACTTGAATCAAAATGGGCAGTTCGAAAAACTCCCATCCATTCTGTGATAGAATCCCAAACCTTGGCAGCAACAATGCAAGAAAATAATAGTTGAGAATCACGATAAAGTTTAATATCAATTTTTTAGGCAAAGAACAGTATCAATTTGTGGATATCATTCGACAGGAGGTTATAAGTTGTTCGATCCAATGACCAAGTAAATTGTGATCAACAAGGACGTGATCATAGATGAGCTTAAGAAATGAGATTGAACAGAAAATATCAAAAAAGATTAAGTAAGAATCATATTCGAAGAATCAACAACTGAAGTTGAAAGAGAAGTTCGACAAGAGGAACTAGCAGTTATAGATCAACCAGGACCAAGAAGACTTCAAAGAACAAGATGCATGTCTGCAAGGTTGCAAGATTGTGTGATTACATCATATGATGTGGTTGATATCGAAGGGGAGCTGTTACATTATATTTTCTATGCAGATGTTGAACCAGTCAATGCAGCTGAAGCATTAAAAGATTCGAAGTGGGTGAAAGTAATGAATGAAGAAGTGAATTCCATCGAAGACAACAACACCTTGTCACTTGTCGAATTGCCTCAAGGAAAGAAGGCAATTGATGTCAAGTGGATATACAAAGTGAAGATGAATCTCAAAGGAGAAGTAACTCAACACAAAGCGAGGCTCGTGGCGAAAGGATTTCTCCATAAAGAAGGAATAGACTTTGATGAAGCTTTTGCACCTGTGGTTAGGACCGAAACAATCAGATTGATTGTTGGTCTTGCAGAAATAAATAGTTGGCACATATGTCAGATGGACGTGAAGTGTGCATTCCTGAATGGACCCTTAGACGAAGAAGTTTATGTTAAACAATTAGTTGGGTTTATGAAACATAACAAAGAGAGAAAGGTGTACATGCTGTATAAAGCCCTGTATGGATTGAAACAAGCTCCAAGAGCTTGGAATAAGAAGATTGATAGTTTTCTAAGGGAGAAAGAATTTGTGAAGAGCACGGATGAATATGGAGTATATGTAAGAAGAAGCAAGAGTGAATTTCTTATACTATGTCTCTATGTCTATGACTTGTTAATAACATGTAGCTGCAAGAAGGAGATCGAAGACTTCAAAGGTGATCTCAACAAGGAATTCAAAATGTTGGATCTAGGTGACATTTCATACTTCCTTGGTATCAAATTCTACAAGAGTAGTAGAGGTTTGATGATGCATCAAAGAAGATATCCAGGAGAAATTCTCAAGAGATTTGAGATGGAAGAATGCAACTCAACTTCGACACCTGATGAACCAATGTTGCAACTTTCGAAAGATTCAGAACAAGATGATGTTGATCCAACCCAATACAAAGGACTTATTGGGTCAATAAGATACATTTGTCATACGAGGTCTGACTTAGCATATAGTGTGGGTATCGTAAGTAGATTCATGCAGAAGTCAAAGGTATCACATTTAGCGGCGGCGAAGAGGATACTAAGATATCTCAAAGGAACTCTCGACTATGGAATTTTATTTCCTAAAGTTGATAAGGGAAAAGAATGCAAGTTAGTGGAATACACTGATTCGAGTTGGTGTAGTGATGCTGAGGATCGAAAATCCACAGCATGATATGTGTTTATGCTAGGTGGTGCACCAGTTGCTTAGAGTTCAAGAAAGCAACCAGTAGTTCCATTATAATCATGCAAAGTAGAATACATAGCTGCTTCTCTTTGTGCATGTCAAGCAACTTGGATGATAAACTTGGTCGAAGAGATAACATGGAAAGATCATGGAGCAATTACCATGAAGATCGACAACATGTCAGCTATCAATCTGGCAAAGAACTCGATAACACATGGTCGAAGCAAGCACATCGAAATGAGGTTCCACTATCTTTGAGAGCATATAGCATATGGGAAGATGAACTTAGAACACTTCTGCAGCAGCACAACAACAAGCATAAAGTAAAGTATTAATTTTACCGGGTGATATTTAGATTATATTGTATTGTGTCCATAGAGATTGGTTATCGATTCATCGTTCGACAAATCATTCGTTAATGAGTTTGGGGAAAAATGAGTTGTTTGTAAAGAAAGGTAAAAGTTATCAACAAAAAATAAATTCATTCTTATAAGGTGAAACTTATCAAGCATGCATATATACTACTTCTCACAGACTTAAACCTATCGACCAGATATACTCAACCTACAAGACTCATCAATGTCATCACGTGTCAAACACAACACCCATTGTATCACCTCGGTGGCGATCTCTCAACCAACCTCAACAATACAGAAGTCAATTGTGCCACTCGCGCTAACGATCTCTCAGTTAACACAACCAACACAAAGGCATTAATCACAGACATCCAAGTGAATAATAGCACTAAATCTATCTCTAGAATCTAGACACTATTAGACAATCATCCTAGATAAGAATTTGAGCAGTATATGTCTATAACAACTTAAACTCCTAGCACAGAGCAAAAATCAAGGATAACAATCCACAAAGATTTGTAAATAAAATTAAATATAACGCCATGGGTTACAAATATACATAAGTTCAAAGTAAATATACATAAAAATCCCAACAAAAAAGAAATACATAGAGAGGAGAAGAGATAAATCACAAATCTTTCGGTTTGGCAACGCCGGTCAATGAGAAATCCACCTCAAATCATCCATAACCAAATCCCTAGTGTATTTTTCTAAGCTAACCTAGAGAAAAAATTAGGGTTGATGGAATTAAGAGCAAAAACTATCTCCAAAACCATAAACAAAAAATAAACTAAAACGGAGTTATAAAATAAATCTCAGCAGACAATGCTTAGCGGGCTCACCGTGCTAAACAGGCTCACCGCGCTAAGCGGTCTGCACAATATTTACACACTAAACCGCCTAGACCGCGCTAAGCGCGCTATCCGCGCTAAGCGGGATCACAAACTATGCTTCTTTTAGAACAATAACAGCACCCCGCGTTAAGCGAACTCACAAATTATGCTTCTTTTAGAACAATTACAGCACCCCGCGCTAAGCGGCACTAGCGCGCTCACCTGGACAAAACTACTCAAAATGGACTTTTATTCCGTAAACATGCATTCAGAGTCGTGTCTTCGACACCTTATTCCTCGATGCTCCAAATATGCAACAAATACCTACAAAATAAGTAAAATCTATCAAACGGGATATTATGTACACAAAAACACAAATAAACACAAACTAAACGTATTTAAACAAAAGTCAAGTTTATTCAACGATTATTAACAACAAAGAATTGATAAGTGCAACAAAAAGTATATACAAAAATAGCTACAATTTACACTTATCAAACTCTCCCCAATTTAAAATTGTTTATCCTCAAACAAGACCAAACAACTCAAAGAACAAAAGTAATCAACCAAAGAATCATGAATCAACAAGTTTGAAAAATAAAAACAAATATATGGTTCAAATAAAAACACACACGTAAGGTAAATACTTACCACAATTCTACAACGATAACATATAAACGAAATGAATCCTAAGTACAAAAATCATACAAAATATTCTAAAACAAAACAAGCTCAATCATGAACCACACCTAGTAAAAATTCATCGGTAGATGAAAAACACACAAAAGTGAGGGACAAAAAATACTCATCCACAATCTTTCAAACAATAGACTAAATTATGCATTCATCCAAAAATTCATATTGAAAATACAAAGGCAAGAGTCACAAGGGCTTTTCAAGGTTGTAGTGTGACTTGGTTAACAAACAAGGGATAAGTTGTAAAGCTAATCGAAACAAAAACTTGCCTAAACTTAAGGGAGCGAACAAATCACAAAAGTTCAAACACAAAATCTCCATCGACTTTCTTCATAATCCCAAATTTGTCACACCAATCACAATACTTATTAACACAACATTATTCCATACTCTTTTTGTTTTTCTTTTTCAAAACTTTTCTCTCTCTTTTATTTCTTTTTCTTTTCACTTCTTTTTCACATTTTTTTTCTTTTTCTTTTCTTTTTTTTTTCCTCACATTTTTTTCCTTTCTTTCACAACCTCATAGCAATCACAACATAAGCACATAAACATTATTCTCCCCAACTTGAATTCAACCATCATCATAATGTGAATACTTTCTACTTTCT